TACTATAATTAACAGTTTATTAAGCTATAACTCGTAATAACCACTACTATAAAATTACAATATTATATTCATTCAAATTATACCTATCATAATTGCTATTATTTTTGGCTAGTTCATGATTTTACTTATAAAATTTAAAAGAACGTTCTTAAATATGGTATCCAAATATAATTTCCTTTATGTAAATAAAATATTATTATAGTTTTTTTTTCTATTGTGTAACAAATTTACTGGTCATTTGGTGACTAATTAAAATAACAACATACTTAAGATTTTGTACATAGTTATATTCCAAAAACAAGTAACAATAGGATATATATACTTTTTTCAAATAAGAATTCGTCATGGGCGGTGGACACAAATGTGGTCGAGCCCATGCATGTTATACAACAAATTTAATACTAATTAATTGCAAGTGGTGGAGTATTTAATTGTTCCAAGTCTTACCTTGGTGTCTTACCATGTGCGACGCTGTACGTTCTCATTCGAAAAACAGTATGGGTTTTTTACAATAAATAATATAAAAAAATACAGATTTAAAATAATCAAGACAGCTTTGTAATAAGCTTTATAGTTAATAAACTAAAGGAGTATGTAGTAAGTCGATATTTATTTAAATAATTTGAACAAAATTCGAAAATAACTGTATACATTAATAATCTACTGCATATTTATTATATAGTGTAAAAAACTTACCGTTTTGACTTAAATTCGTAGAAACTTAGAAACCCGTCGTGCGTCGAACTTTCTTGTAGGAGTGTTGCAAAGTATGATTAATAAACGACTGATAAAAGGGTAATGGTGACCACCATCCATTAGCTCATAATACGTTTTGTAAGAGACAAAATTCTTAAGAATTTTCATTTCATGCCGCGCGTGTTGCATCTTGCCTTATTTTACTTTTGTGTTAGCGACTCGCGCGTGTTCAGTTTTCGCCAAATTACATTCGACTGTTATGACATACTATATTTTATAGTGATTTGATATATTGCTATAGTATTCAATTATCTGAGCTATAAAATATAGTTGATTCAAACGTATAAAAAAAATAAACTACAAAATATAGTAATATTCACTATTGAAATCAACTATTTTTATATAGTCTTAATAACTATACTGTTTTAGTCATTTCACCTATAAAATAGTAATTCTTACTACATTTTCCGTAACTATAAAATTTTAGTAATTTTTTTTTCTTGTATAACTAAATTTATCATCTATATTACGATGCCTACGTATAATGTGTTTAAATATATTTTTTAAATGTGTAACTTCGCATTGCACTCGAATAATTATCAAGTTTCCAGTGATATTAGACACGCATTGCAGCCTGAACATTCGCATTTGATCATTAATAATCAATGACCATAAATTAACGACAGATACTGTCGCTTTGCTTTCACAAATAAACACAAACGAATATAGATGCGAAAACCGTTAGCAAAAGCGATAAAATAATGATAATACAAAACAAAACCATAATAGCATGCACCGATGTCTGTCGATAAAAATTTACAAACAATAACTCCGAAATCGTGTACGGCTGAACGTATCTGTACATACCCCCCACACGATGTCTATCGTTTTACACCGCACGGTATTATTAATAACTATGTTATGGCACTGCACGCAATAGCGCCGTTAAAAATACAGGAAGCCGATGTTATAGTCGACAGGAACGTTTTTAATATCGAATTACTACAATCTGCAGTACCATACGGTTCTTTGGCCCAAGCGGGGCGTATTCGCAAGAACTATCGCCTCGCATTATAAATTATTTTTCCGCGTAAAACGATCACGCTCTAATTGTATGACTTCGGACGTTTTACTTCACCCGTCTAAATCAACTGCGCGTTCGTGTTACTGGTAAAACATTTTTTCAACCTTATAAGCGAGTGCCATTTTCCTCCCCTTTACTACCAGTTTTTAATACGTTTACGGACCCGTTTACCCCTGTACACATTGCTCTTGTGCAGTTATAGCACGCGAGTTTCTGTGACACAAAAACGCTTCTCATTACTTTTTTTTTTTTTTTCTGAACCAGATAAAAAGTTTTAAACTGTACACCTAGTCGACGTACGACTAAAATGGTTAGTTTATTTTTAATTAAATTTTATGAAATCACACGATACATCAGAAGATCATTATTATGTATTTCCCGAAAACTATAACGATTCGTATGCAGATAATACATTCAAACTGTAATTATATCATATTTACGGTAAGTGGGGGAAGAGATTTAATTGACGATAATGTGTTTAATATACAATGAGAACTTGCACGGTTATTAAGAAACCATGAGCACTTTCACATAACTTCAAGTCGACCAACTGAAATCTTTTCGATTTCATATCAGCATGTTTAAAAAAAAATCATTTTACACGGTTCTTAAACAAAATATCAATAGTTTTAACCGAGTATTTTATTACGACAATATTATTTTTTCAAAAACTATTTATGTACGATTTCTTATATTCTAATTAGCATGTAGAAATAAAAACGTATTACGTGAATTATAAATATGAATAATGCATTTTTTGATGATTTTAAAATTGTTCGAACTCTTATAGAATAATGTATTTACAGTATCTTTTTATGAGTTTTTGAGAATATTAAAGCAAAGCCCTAGCTATTAAATATTATAATAAATGTAATTTTGAAGGAGTACAATTTTCTTAGTTCCAGCTATGAAGATTATAATCTATCGTAGATTTTATTTGTGTGTGTGCGAGAGTAAACTTTATCAACCTAATTGCAGCTACAAGTACGTATATGTATATGTGTCGTGTTTAACAACACATTTTCTCTGATAAGCTGAATCACATGATTACGTATAAGTATATCATATGATATTGATTGAATTAATCGCATGTTACCGTGAAATTAACAGTGTTGGGATTAAATAAATATAAATAAAGATAAAAATAAAGATAAATTTGTTTTATATTATGAAATCTAACTTTCTAAGAGTAGGTACACCTTAGACGCTAGTATACTACTTAGTATCTCAATATTATTTAAACACAGAAAATATGTTTATATTAATATTGGTAGTTGATATTATTATTAATCAATACACAATGAGTATAAATTAACAAACATTTTAAAAATTAAGGATATATATTAACAAAAAAATATTTTACACATGTGACATATCACAGTAAATTGATTGTTGTAAAACTTCAAAAGTTTTAGTATGTATTTAAATTTATATTAATAAACATACAATTGTTATTTATTAAGATACTTTTAATATAATATTGTAAATCTATCTACCCTAGTTTTTGTTGATTTATTAATTTAATATTTAATGAGTATGCTTTTTCACCAATATATTTACGCCATATGAAAAAAATATATATAATTTACACTTATACATATAATAAATAAAATGACACTTAATCTATTAACCACATTTCCATTAATATAATAGCTCACTAGTCAACATAACAACAAAATATACCAAATCTAAACCTGAGCATTAGATATCATTAACGATAAAGTCAACAATATATAATATATTATCTTGTCGTTACCAGAATTATTTAAAAATTTAAATATCAAATATTAACTACCAATAAAATAAATTAACGAAAAAAATGACTTTTATTTTATTGAATACGAAGGAGTTTATCTAGGTTCATCTAGGTAGATTAATATTTCATCTAGGATAATTATTTAGTTAACTATTAATATATCAAATATTTATCTGGATAACAGATTATCTAGATCAGTGATCAACAAGTGGGTCGCGACCCAATTTGGGGTCGCGTAAGCTTTAAGTTTGGGTCGCGATAAGTTTTTTGTTAAAATTTAAAAAAATCATATTTATATATACATTATATAATGTATGTTATATGGTATTGCATAAAAATGTTTTCGGATAAACCCGAAACCATACTATTTTATATTAATTTAAATTTGTAGAAGATTAGAATGAACAATTTTTTCTCAAACACTTATACTTAATTAAAAAAAAATTCTCAAATCAATAAGCAACACATACCACACTAATCATTAACTGTCGAACACATAGTGAAGGAGTGTACATAATTTACCTCAATACGCACCGACCTGAATACGCCATCCAACATAGTAAAAGTATTTAGCGAAAAACAAACTATGAAAATAGTCACATTATTAAGTATCACAAATATTATATTAGTAAATCTTAATTTACATCTAACTTCACCTATATAATATTTCATATGTAATATTGTTATTTTAAATCTAACACCTAACACATCAAATGTATAACATTTAATATTAAATAGTATTTGCTGTTGAAGCTTCAATTTTCAAATAAAAGAAAAAAAAATAATGAACAATAAAATGAAGTGATAGCCCGACTTAATTTATAAATCTCATTTACATTTCATATATCTATAAAGTGCATTGTGTTACACTGAGCTGAGGTGGAGGTATTTCGTGTGAAAACAGTCCGGAAGGACAAATATGGCACTCATTTCTTTTGTGTATCAAAACATATACATTTTTCGGAATCATTACATTGCTTTTTTTTTTGTATCATTACTTATATTAAAAATTAAATATTTTCTAAATAGGTACCTAAAAAATATAAATTTTGATTTATTCAGTTGTAAAAGCACTTCTAAAATGGCATACATTAAACAATTTTAACTTTTTTATTTGGTTTTCATGGCTAACGAGATTTACATGGGTCGCGAAGAATGTTTGGTAAGAAAAGTGGGTCGCAGGTCAAAAAAGGTTGAAGACCATTGATCTAGATGAATCCCAACCATAAAAATTGGTTTCATTAAAATTTTGAACAGAGTTTATTAGATTTTACGACTGAACGTTATAGCGATGTTGTGTGACCGATATTTTGATGGTAGTAACGAAATAAAAAATAAATAAAAACGTGGTACGTATTATAGCATCGCAATGTTTTGAAAATCGCACGACACGTGACACAGCGCGACACACAGCGAGTCCGGCATCATACTAAAACCTAAATAACAATCCAGACAAGCACTTACCCTGATAACTGGTACGGCCGGCATGGAAGCTGTCCGTCCGCGGTCTGTGATAGCCGTCGTCGTTGATCTCCGGTTGCTGAATGCCGACGACCGTTGTAGACTCCGCCTGGGCGAGCTACCGGACGGCTTGGCGCGCAGCGACCGGTTCGCGCTGTGCCTGACCGCGGCTGGCGGCCGGATGGTGGACGACGATGTTGTGGACGAGGACCACCGCGACGGCGATGGACGACGGAATTGGTGTTCCAGGATCCGTTTCTCTTCCAGGACGGCCTCCGGTGGCGGCTCATCGTCCGGCCGATAATCGTCTCCGTAGAACGTCATCGGACCAGATGTCCTGCGGGCAACAGAAACCGAAACGAGTGCGTTTAAATAGTAAGCAACTAACATCGTTTGTGAGGCGAAATTTCCTTTCAATCTCAACACCACGTACCGTCGAACGTCTCACTTATCACCTATATCGTCCAAGGCTCGATCCTATCCGGAAGTTACGATATTCGATGAAAATAATGAGCATTTCGGTTTCATATATTATATTTATAATCTTAAGGTTAAAATCCAATGTACATAACACGAGTTGATCATTTAGGGATACGTTCGATCCAGTATACTTGATTCATTTATACACGTGTAAAGTTAATTGATACTTATGGAGTGCGTGGTTACGCCGATATTCGTTACATGAATCAAAGTTACGTATTATAAATATACTTCTAACTTGTAACAGTTGGAAAAGTATACGTATTCAACTTTAGAACATTGAAAGTGAATTATCGTTTATGTACGATTACATGTTATGATTGTCTTTAGTATTAACTTAATATTTGGTCAATAATAATTTTCGAGAAATGGTTTAAAAATTATTATAGTAGCAAAAAAAACCTCCGACAACAAATGACTCAAATACTCGTCAACAGATAATTTAATTTTTATAATTCTCTTTAGCAATGGTTGTTTTAAAACCAAAAATTTACATTACAACGAATATTCACCCAAAAATTGTAATTCGATTACTTGAATTTAGACAGTAACACGATTCGGCTATCCTGATTAAGTAATTAGTTTACATTTACATTACCATTATAATTACATGTAATCATAGTGTTTCGTCATCTATCTTGAACAGGTCTCATAACTATGGTAACGTAAGATGGAAAGACACCTTAATTCATAAGTTGGATGATAACACATTTAAGTTAAAGCATTTTCTGTATGATAGATACACAAAAGTAATTTTCTCACTATGTTATAGCCTAAAAAGCAACAATAGTACTACTGCTTATAAGATAATATAATTAATAGAAAATACTCGTCAATTAATGAACCAAATTCTTTTATAAATAAAAATAAAAATCAAAAATAAATATAGTGGTAGACACTTTAAAGTCTTACAGGTTTTGATATAAATTTGTTAGTAAGGTACAAAATTGAGTCTGAATCTGTGCGAGTCATACCGTTGATCCATAGACTCTGTAGACTCCACCGTTGTTGAAAAATAAAAAAAAGTTTACGGCAATACAATATTTTTATTTTAAAAGTTTATATCTGTTTATAATATATGAGAATATCTTGTCTTGGTCCCAATTAACAGGCTTAAATAAACGTAGGAGTCAGTCCCCGATTATTATTAATTATACAATGCAACAGGTTCGTTGTCATGTGAGATACATGTATAGAATTTTGCATGGTATCATTGGCAATACTCGGGAGAACTTAAATAATTTTCCGTCAATGTATCGACTGACCCGAGTCCTCGTACATTAAATAATAGAAGGTGTGTGGAAGGCTGGTGGCTCTAAAAAGGGCCGTTTTCGTTTATATCATTGCCGGATTATGTGGGAACTCGGGAGCATACGGACACCGGATAACGCCGTGAGCAAACGGGTCCTCGCTGATTTGTGTTTGTCCTCCGTGGCAGTCGTCCGACTAATGACCCGTGGTCTGAGTTGCCGCAGGTATCCACCGTTGTCATAAGTAAATATGATATAAGCGATGTACAATTAATCTCCGCCCGTCGCTGTGGATAATGTTCTGCCTGCGATGTCGCATCTGAATGATTATATATGCTACTCTTTGTCGTCGTTCCCGTGGTCAGCCTATCCTTCATTCTTCTAGTTCTTCCTTTCTTTGAACTGGATAAATGTTCCTATTTGAAGAGTTAAATAAAGAATGTTAAAGGATATGTTTTATTTTGTGATCGGTTCTCCTATTTATACACATTCTCGCCTTGTCAGTACGATGTTATTGACACATTTGTTTCTTTTTTGGCATCCTAAACTAGCATCGTATATCTGTTTTGTATTAGAAAATACAATTTTACACGGTCATCGTTTGTCTGACAGTGTAAAATGGTAACTTCTGCATGTGACCCAAGATGGGTGCTATTGTGTACTGTCATTTCATGTATATATAGTTTTCCTGAGAAGGACCATTTCTCACGGAAATGCTCCGTTACATGTCTCCTCGTTTTTATTTATTTAATTATGAACACCAATTATTATAATTCACGTGATGTTTGTGTGAACGTACAAATTTTGTTGCCATGGAACGAAGTCCATTACTACCCACCTCCGGATATGCCCAATAAAGACGTCTCCGGACGTTACCTACTTATTTTAATTTGTCAACCGAAATTGCTAGCGTTTGTCATGATTTTTCCATATATAATCTGTATGGGATTATCGGTTAGTTAAAATAGAAATTCGTCACCAAAAACTTAATTAACATAAAGACTGTCTCATTTTCTCCACCATTGAAGCAACACCATGGATGGTTAAACGACACCGTACTTCGATGTGTCTCAGGGAAAACGCCCTGGAAACTCGGGTGTGTAGTAATTATTTATGGTTTTTGTGAATTATGACATAACTATACTTTGGCGGGTAGCTTTATTTATTTTCTTTCTTTTATCTATTTTATTTCGTGTGTGAATTATGATTATTTTTATATAATTATCAAAGAACGAGTCTATTAAATATATAATTTTTATTAATGATCCCGATTACTACCTAGAGGAGTTGATGGGACTGAAATTTAAATATAAAGTTTTTCTTATTCACACGATTAAACTCTGCTTTTTTTGTGATTTCTTTTATTTTTATTTTTTTTTATATTGTTTGTGGAGCAAAATATAGACATAAAGTATAAATTAACTGAATTTTGTATAAATCAATTCAATTCTTACTATAACAAGATTTCCTAAAAAAAAAATCCAAATCGCTCCGGCCTCATGAGGTCTCACCAAGGTCGACCCGTGGTTTTTGACCCAATACTGTTCGTCAGTGTATACTAGTACTATTATTACTATTATTGGATATTGAGCGTGTATATTACACGCCAAATATCCAACATGGCCAGGAAAAAAGTGTGAGATATCAAAAGTTATCGATAAGAAAACTAAACTTTCTGATGATTGATGGTATTTTTTTATTTTCATTTATTATTTGTTAGAACCCGATTCATCGTGGAATACAAATTCATACCGTTTACCACTGCAAATAATTATAACACGGCACTTTATATAGGCAATTTAAGTACATCTATGCCAACAATGACGATTACGCAACAAACGACCAATGAAGATTCTACTGTACATTTATTATATTGAACAATACTAAAATTTATTTAATATTTATTTAATTTATGTAATATAGAAAAACATTTTAAATGTATGATTAACTAATTCATTTCCATAAGTAATCAAATAAATTATCAAAATAATTATTATTTTTTATACATATTAACACAATTAACGTAAATTATAAACTTTATAGTAAAAGCAGTTAGTGTTTACCACCCGTCCGTGCAACACGTATGTTTCGTACTGTCATCGCATTTATAGCTCCCGTAGCAGTTGCGTGTATCACTCTTATCATACCCAGTGATCGGATAATATGATTATTTTCATAGTCATAATTACACCGACTAAATAGGCAATTAAATATAATGGGTGAAATGCCAATTAACATGAATATGAGCGATACTAACACTTCTAGCCATCATAAACGTAATTCTCAAACATTCGCCGAAATAGCCTCTGATATTGTATTACCGAAAATGAATCAAGCAATCGTATTTAATTCGATGAATTTTTTTTTTTTTACAATCTTTAGATTGGTTAAATCATTTCGATGGTTTTTCAACTGGCCCTTTCCATTAGATCCACTTTTAGTTCCTTATAATTGGTTTTTCCTATGTCTTCTATGTTCTGTTTCATAAATAGTGTTCTTGGTCTACCTCTTCCAGCTTTTCCTTCTATTATCGTCGTTATCCATTCATTATTTCTCATAATATGTCTAAACTATTTTTCCTCTTCTTTATAAGAGTTTTCCTGGTATTTAAGCTAACAGTGTTTGCCGTAAATAGGTGCTTCTTCTTGTAAAATACCTGTTTTGCTTGTGCTATTCTGCTCTTTATGTCCATTTCGCTTCTTCCATCGTGTGTTATTTTCTTCGTAAATACGTAAATTCGTAAATATGCTTTTTCTAAGTCAATAAACGTTATATACATAGGCTTTTAGTTTTGAAAACATTTTATTCATAATGTTTAGATTTTTTCTCTGTAGAACTCAATTAACCTATTTCCCCTTTCGTTTCTTGTACATAGACCAAACGCACTTGTTACTTCGTGTTCTTTTGAATCTCCAACTATAACATTCCAGTCTCCTAACACAATCAGGTTTGTCTTTTCGTTGGCCATTTTTATTACCTCATTTATTTGTTCATAAATTTCTTCTATTTCTTCATCTTTATGAGTTGTGGTTAGCGTGTATACTTGTAGAATAAATTTATCAACAGTTTTAGTTTCTATTTTAATAGCAATTATTCGGTCATTGTATTGAACAATTTCTACTACTTTTTTCCCATTTTTTTTGTTCAGTATGAACCACTAACTAAACCAACTAACCAACCAAAACTAACTAACCAACTCCTGTTACTCTCTGTTCACCTTCGTTAAATATGATTCTATAATCTTCCGACCAGAAATATCCTTTACCTGTTCATTTTAGTTCACTTATTCTTATTTTATCTATTTAAAGTCTTTCCATTTCAATTTTGTGATTCTCCATTTTACCACAGATCTCTAAAAACCTTACATTCCACGTTGTTATTCTACTTTTCCTTATTTTGTTCTCCTCCTTCAATGAATACTTAGTAGCTTTAGTCCCCACCTGGAGTCCGAATGGGGGACTATTTTACCTCCGGAATTTTTTAATTCTACTGTATTCATCATGTCATTATCTTCAGGATGTATAATACAGTAGTTTCCTCTTACTTTCTGCATCGCAGTTGGTGAGCCAGTACTTAAGCTATCCTCAAGCTGTCATCACCAAATCCT